AATGCTGAAAATTACTAGCATAAATTATCTGATCTTGATCATGAACCAATGTGTTCGCAACCCGTTCCCAGGCTCTCGATTCTTTCCGCTGTGACAGTGTTTTGGGTCAGTTCCCGTATCGTCCCAAAACGCGTTTCGGTATTTCCTTCGTAGCTAAAAAGTGAGTGAACAATAGACTGGGGCAAGTAATGAGGTGTAGTTCTCGACATGTCGTTGGACTTAAAAAGTTGCTAAATTGGTGTTGGTACAGCGAAATGTTCATTTCTTGTGAAGCGTCTTGAAAAGGCTCATCACCCTCAGTCAACAGTTTCGGGTGAGTTGCTTCACATACCGACAATTTAGGCGGTAAACGGGTATGGTGTGTGACCAGGTACGGAAGCAAAAAGGAAGGAGGCTTTTTCTATTTGTTGGGCATATCATACTATTGCACTGTTGCACAACTATTGTAATTAGCACCACAACTATTGTAATTAGCACCTAAACACTTGCACCTCGTTACTCACACACACACCAACCACAATACATGTAATTACCATATCTGCACCTGCACCCGTATATATCTGCGGACAACCTCATTAAAGTGCAGTTTTGAACACGATAAGTAACGGTCAACAGCACGTTTGTCTTTCGGTGGAAAATTAAGAAAATGACTGGACACTTGTAGGCCTGACTTTTTTTACCAATGATGTCAGTGTGTGTGTGTGTGAAATATTCCTTTTGTTTCAGTGACCCTAGCAAGTTAGCAGATGTTTACTATCAACAAGGCTCCATATGTATGGCCTCTGGTACTCAGGACGACCCTAACCCCCCCCCCCTCCCGACAACTTTACGAAGCCCTTCACGATATGAAATTTGACATTTGCTAAACCTTGTTCGGCCAGGCCAGGTTATATGTTCAACAAAGTGGCAGACAACAGGAAACAAATAGATGTAAATGCATGGGCTTTAGTTATAACGTGTGCACACATTTCTGTTTGAGTTGTCTCGTCTCAGGTGGGCGAGACAAGGTGTTTACATGAGAAAAAGTTGTCTTGCATGCCAAGGTTACCTTACTTACCGAGATGAGACAAATTTCCCTAGAGT